CTATAATAATAATTAATTTTAATTGTAAAATCTATCTGTTGAACTGTCTAAATGGTCTTGAATTAAATTTCACTTTACATCCACCTCGTTAAAAGCCCACATAAAGTGCTGTGTGGGGGAGGTGATTGTCTTTGACTAGACATAAACACTGAAATTCTTGCATACACGAATAAAATGTAATATAATAAATTTAACATGATGAAACAAGTCTCCCCTATTTTAACTTAAGAGAATCACTCTGAGGTACTCAGAAGACCCATGATATTGAAGACACAATACCAGAGGTGTGCAACACGAGGGAGTCGACGCGTCCAACACGTCCCGATCTCAGATCGTGCTGGACCGAATAGAGCCGTAGAATTCTAGAAAAAGAAGTTTGTGTTGATCCGAGCTATACTGATCGACTCAACACTGATGCGCACCCCATCAAAAGCAACGTATCCAAAACTCTATATCTTGGGGCTCAGTTCTGTGGGCAGATCGGTGGCTGTACATGCCACCCGGCTTTCTCCAGAGTGTACAGCCACCAGTCTGCCCACAGAACTGAGCCTAAGATAAGTATTTCATCTTCGTCAAACCAAAAAAAAATGAACCTGTACCGCCAAGCAATAGGTAAGGGACCGCCGTTGCAGTAGGATTGCTCCGTCGAAAATATTCTCACCTTCCTCGAGAAGTTTGCGGCCGTATGAGGACAGCCATTCGACACCAGCCGGCTTTCGCCTGCCATGCGCGGTATGTTTCTTTTTTGACACCCTCGACGTTGTTTCATAAAGTTCTGAAAGTGGATCCGGAATAAGATAGGCCGCATCCATACTCATCGAACGTGATGTCACATCTTAAATATTCAATTCCTCGAGCACCCGGATGAAATAAACAAAATCTCCCGTCAATCTACTCTAAAACTCACTAAGAATCAGTCGTGAAAAATGAGTAGGACTCCGGTCCGTTCGTCCGACGTGCTGGCCTTCAAAAAGACGGCCTGAGACGGGTGCCCTACGGGGACCACCTGTCTGTCGAGGGGACTCTCCAAACCGAGCGACGGACGAGTCCCGTCTGTCAGACGGGTGCCGGCCGTCAAGACGGGTTAACCAGAGTTATTTATAGAGAACGGGTTCGAAACAGGTTTCTCTTGATTTCTGGATCAGGATAGGTGTCCTTTAATAGCTCAGATTTAATTATGAGATTTTTGTAAGACTTACATATTTTTTTTTCGGGCACATTGAATATGATTTAAATATATTAATGTATACCTAACTATGGTTGCAATAACGTGCTTTACAGCCTATATTTCTCACAGTTCATATTTCGACTCAAATCCTCTGTACCTCTATTCCTCTTCATGTTGCAGAATCCAGGTTCAACCCAGGCTCCTACCCACCCGCACGTTACGGGTTTGGGTTAATACGGAGGAGTGGGGTTCACGGTGGATTTAATTACTGTGTGTGAAAATATTTTGACACCGCTAAAATTTAAACTCCGAACTTCGCTTATCCAAACCCTCCATGGCGTGACAACCAGGCGAGGCACGACAACTTTAGTAGCATAGGCATTCAATGATGCCTATTGATGGCATAAATGCCTACTATCCCAATAACTGAATGCCTATTGCATTGGTTGAATGCCTCGCGAGCTAATCTCCATGATGGCATCACATCAGTCGGAGACGCCGGAGACTGAAAACTGAGCGCTGCACTGAACCTCAACTGTGGTGCAGCCAACATTCATTTCATAATTACTGTTCTTCCCTCAAGAAAAAGCACTGACGGACCGGTACCAGTACTCACGGTGTAGCGGGGATATAGGGCACGGTACAGTGTTTGACCATGCGTGGCAGTGGCAGCGGAGGCTGCATCGTGTTTGGTTCAGTAGATGTAGATACACAGAACTAGTAGCCATTGTTCGTCTTGGTTCGTCTGGCGGTCTCCAACAGAGGCAGTCCAAATACAAGGCAAGAATTAATTTCATGGATGAAAATAATCATACTACAAATGGCTACGATTCGCGTTTCCGAACCTTGCGAGCTCGCGGCTCATCAATCACATTCTTCAAGTCCACCTCTTGCCTTTGACGTTTTTGGGGAGCAGGAGCAGAAGCGGCGAGGTTGATGATATCGCACAGGACCGACTTCACTACAACGGGGGCAGGAATTGGGGTCGGACAGGGATGGGCTTCCACGAAAATTGGGCCGTTGAGAGGCAGGGGAGGGTGGAATGATCGCACTGACGAGAAAGTCAGCTAGGACTAGTATAATTAATGAATTTACACATACCCTCCTCGTCCTTAGTGGCTTCAACAGATGGCAACCGATTGCGGCTCGTGGGCAAGATTGTGGCTGCCGAATGGGGGGTTATCTACGATGCGATGGGCATTGACGTCTGGCTGCATGCTGGACATCCTAAAAATAAAATCAATTGACGTGACATGGGGAAAAATAAAGCATATCTACGTGTTTTGTACCGTGCTCTCGCTCTTGTAAACGAGATAGTCATGGAATTGCTCGAGCTTGATCCATTAAAGAACATTTGACGCGCTATATGCTGGGTTCTGAGCCAATTGAGAAGGAAAGCCTGCCGAAAAGGTCAGATCCGCGGACTGCGCGTGTGATGAACTCTGGCAACACACCGACCGATCCATTGCTTGTAGTCATCGATATCCGCCCGGGTTAACTGAAGCAGGGCGGTGAGCACAAAATCTTTTCTTTCCATTGCTGGTGGAGGAGAGGAGAGGGGAGGAGAGGGAAAATATGTCCGATGTGTGACCTAGTCACGTAAAATGTGTCATAGTGTTGCGGAGGGCTCGCGTAGCTGCATTAACTGATGGATAGGCATTCATCCAGCAGATAGGCATTCGATTAGGCAATAGGCATTCGTGCCATCAATAGGCATTCGCGGATGCCTATGCTACTAAACTTGTATGTACTCCAACCAGGCGTGTGGATAAGCGAAGTTCGGAGTTTAAATTTTAGTGGTGCCAAAATATTTTCACACACAGTATTAAATCCACCATGAACCCCACTCTTCTGTATTAACCCAAACCCGTAACGTGCGGGTGGGTAGGAGCCTGGGTTCAACCAGGGTTGAACCACATCATCTGATCTCGGTAAATGCCGAACATCGCAGATCGAACAAAAATGCCTTGGAAAGGCGTCTTGCACTCGTGAAATGCCTTACAGGTGATACACAAGTGGATCTTCTTCACCGTCGGTGGTAGCTGCCAAGAGTCCAAGACCATACAAAGGGGAAGATACTCAATTCAATTGTGGTATTGAACTGGTAAGTCTCTCTCGACAGCGTCATTCGGCCAAGTCGCCGCTCAGAACTAGATCCGTTCTAGGGTGAAAGGCGCAATATTCGAATGCCCGGACATCTCGAGCGGAGTATGAATGAGGTCGCTAAATCTACAGTATAAATTGCAAGGTGTAGAGGCTGAAAACTCAAGTCGTTCACTGTCTTCCATCCAGTCTCAGTCCCAACCAAGCATGCAGTTCTCTACCGCTTTCTTTTCACTCACCCCCTTTATGGCGGCAACGGCCCTCCCGCCCACTCCTCAGGTATGAATATTCCTTCATTTTAAATATTCCCGCTCAACGCCCCATAGACCCCCGGCAATGTGTGAGTATTTTCGAGTTGCAGCAGCCTTTCATTTCAAAATGCATTGAATTAGCCGTCTCTGCCCTGACGTGGGGTTCAATGGCGACTGCCTCACTGTCAATGGTGGCAGCACCCAGTGCGTCAATGTCCCTGGCAGTCTCAATGACCAGATCTCGAGCTTCGGGCCCGACGACGGCCAAGACTGCTTCATCTTCGCGTATGTTCCCAACTACAGGACGCAAAATGAAATTGTTTTAGCGATTTCAGAATGGTCCTATCCGCATCCCCGGAATCAGCAACCTCAACGACGTCGGCTTCAACGACAAGATGTTGTCCTGGAAGTTCGTAGTTGATATACTCGCACACATCCCGATATTAAATTTACCCGTACAGGTGCTTCTTCGGGTGAAGGATTCTCATTTGGGACCAAGCTCATATATAATTCTGTGTTCGAAATCTGATCTCCATGGCCATCGATGTTTGTGTGGTGAAATGGCATCTTTGTTTTTCCCACTCCGACTCTTTAATCCAGGTGCTGAAAGCACACGAGCTGATTTCCAGCGTACAAATCAACTTCACTGCGCAATCAATGCCGTCAATAATAATTTAATTGTATTTTTTAACTCGTTCCTTGTCTTTGGTATGCCACAAATGAGTCCAGCATTTATCCAGGTTCTGGATGGAGGTGTTAATCGGATGTGGTGTACGGTACACCGCGAGTGTTTCTATGACCCAGGGATGATATCGATGAGCAAGTTTCTCGCAGTCCGGGGTTCGACTCCCCGCATCCGAATAAGGGCCCTCAGTACCCCTTCCATTTTTTACCTGCCTTGCTGAGAATTTTTCCCATGTAATCCAGGGCCTGAAAAGCGCCACCCCTTCAGAAATCATGGCTTGGCAGCGGGAAATGTCCCTAGCTCTCACTACGCATTCAAAACCGTTAATAATAATTTTATATTACTTTGTTTCAACCCAGCCCCTTCTTCGAAATGCCACGATTTAGTCCAGCATTTATCCAGGTTCTGAATGAGGGTGTTAATCGGACGTGACGTACGGTACACAGCGAGCCCTACTAGATACACCGATTCGAAGTAGCTCGCTGCTCGCAGTCCAGGGTTCGATTCCCTGCGTCCGAATGGAGGGATGACCCCCGGAACTTGCTTTTTGCCTTGCTGAGAGATTTCTCCGGTTATTACAATACAGGTCCCGAGAAGCACCACCCCTTCAGAGCTTCAGATGTCATGGTTTCGCGGCGGGAAATGAACTTCCCTAGTACGCATCTTCAATCCCGCCTTCAGAAATAATTTAATAGGTATTACGTGGGTTCAACCCGGAAAGTATTATGTCGGTTCAACCCGGCCTCTGCCTCGGATATGGTACATTTATCTAGCCACGAAGGAATTTATCTCATCGGACGTGGTGTACGGTACACAGCGAAATCCTCTTCAAGATCAATCATTGTGATTTGCAGTCCGGGGTTCGACTCCCCGCGTCCGAATTATGTTTGAGGCGAAATGGTTGAAAAAAAAAAAAGATTCCTGCCCTCCCCGCTCCCGAAGAAAATACCGAGTTCGTCGGGGCTCCCGGCGCTGGCATTGACATTTACTCGCCGCGTGCCAAGAAGGGGTGTTATTTTCTCCTGCGTTCCAGAGTCAGATAAATGAAAAATGAAAAATGTTTACTGTAATGCAGTGCGGGAGAACTCGCGGAAAGTTTGGTGGTGCCAATGGTTGTTATCATTCGGGCTCGACAGAATATAATTCATCGGACGTGGTGTACGGTACAGGGCGAGGCCCACTGGAAAATCTCTGCGCTAGTAGCTCACAAACCGGGGTTCGACTCCCTGCGTCCGGAATAACGGAATAGAAAGACCTTTTTTTTAAAAAAAGACAAAAGAAATCCTCTTTTGCTCCCTGGTCAAAATGTCTTGTACCTCGAGAAAGAATATACAAGGAGAAAAAACCGACGCGCCGTTATGAATAAAGTTCATTGACTATCTTGAACAATTTTTTAGAGTCTGGCTATGTGAGACTAAGACTAACGCGCCAGACGTTTCAAAAAGAGGAGTAGACTCAACGAGTTTTATGCCCGGACCAACAAAGGTCACCGGTGTACATCGGAGGACATCCACTGTCACCGGTAATCAGTGTGATATGATGAATATGATGGATAAGATAATGCGGATAAGTGATGATCGATGTCCACTGTACGATGATTCATCAGCATCCTATGGATTTATGACTGCCTCCAGTGGAGTGCACTGTACGGCATTAATTCAGTGGATTCCACTGGATTTCCACAATTTGAAATTTAGAGGGGGGGGGGCTCAAACAGAGCAGTGAATTTCAGGGGATATCTCGTTATATCCAGTGTATTTATGCCAACTACGGCTTTGTGGCCCACGTTTTAAGACTCCTCTGGTGGAGAAATGATTGGCGAAAAAAGAGGAGGAAAGCTTCACTGCTGTTTTGGAAGAAAGTGGAGAGCACCAATTCATGTGTTTTGTATTCTTCTTTAACAACAGTGAATTTCAGTGATTTTCCCATCAGATCCAGTAGATCCATGCTCGGGGTACAGTGAAGTCAGTAAATATCCCCTAAAATCTCGTGAGATCCAGTGTATTTGCTGCTTGGGGTAGAGTGAAATTCAGCAAATATCTCGTCCAACTGCAGTCATATCTGGCATATTTATGTTTGGGTTACAGTGAAATCCAGTAAATATCCCCTAAACTCCTGTGTATTTCCTTCATAATCAAGTGATTGTAAGTTAGCTGGATTTACCATGTAGATTGACAATGCTTGGTGGAAATCCTGCAATATACGGAGGAGTTTATGAAGTAAATACACCAAAATTTATCGAAATGCTGTCACATCCAGGTGATTTCTACCCAGAGTTCACTGGATTGTACAGGATATTTGTTGGAATCCAGCACCTGTAGAGCACATATTAAATGCAGGCCACCAATTTATTTACAAATGGTTGTAGCAGGAGATACAGTCATGGGTGCAGTGTAGTTCATTGGATATGTCAAGATCCGGTGGAGGTGGCTGAATGTGAGGACCCGCCACTGAAGTCCACTGTATGCGCAATGGAAATCCAGTGGAGTTCGGTGACTTGGACCGGCTTTGCCGGTCCGCGCATATTACTGGACTCAACACATTGGCTCCGTTATTATATCGATACAAGAGAGATTTGGTTTTCCCTTTCTATCTTCTTGTATACTACGGCGCGAGGTAGGGAAAGAGGGGGGATGTACAACAGAGGAGATGAGTGGAGACTTGAGCTGATGAGTGAGATAAGATGACGAGTGGAAGGGAGATTAAATACGACGCGATGCGTGTATGGATCATGGTATATAGCGGGCTAAGTCAGGTGAGGCTGAAGTGCAGTTCCGGGATGTAAGTGTAGATCTAAATGGGGGGATAGACCTCGAGAGAAAAGAACCCGAAGGGCTCACCGTCCTCTCCCTGCCCCAGCGCTCGTCCAGCTCGACACGGAGCGTAAGATGAACTCAGGCAAGCGAAACCGCGAGTGCGTGAAGTCTTCACCTGGCGGATGTGACGAATGGAACTCACCTTCTGCGCCGGTAATGAGTCAAACCCGTCGTCGTCGTCCAACGCGCTCGAGGCCGACGTCGACCAGAATTCATCCGCACCAGATCGCAAGTGGAAAGCGCGAGCGACGCGTCGGAGCGCAGCCCAAGATCGTGCTGCGCCTCAGACGGGTGCTAGAGTGCCGAGAGGCAGAGGATGCGCTGCGACGAGGAGAGGGTCGGCGTTGTCGGTGGCTGAGGAGAAGAAAGAGTACACGGGGGTGCGGGGTAGAAGGGGTCGCGCGCGCAGGTACAGAAGGCGTGGTTTAACAAACGGCGAGGGAATTCACAATGTCGAGTGCGTGCTGCCAGTGGCCGGCGAGCCCGAGCGCGCCGGGAACCAAGCGTCAGCGCGTCGTTGAATAGGGCAGTGCGTCGGCTCCATGGGCAAGTACTTAGTACCGTTGGCCAGGTTGATGTCTATTTGGTTGGGTACAAACAACTCTTTTTTGGCCTTGCCATGATCCCTGCGCCAAAAAATTGTGCATTTAATCCGGGTCAGAGAAGGGTAAATATTCGGATGTGGTACCGCGAGTTCCTATGCGGAGTGAAAGATTTCAGACTCGCAGTCTGGGGTTCGACTCTCCGCATCCGAATAGGTCCGAGCCATCCGCGTTTTTTTTTGTTCCATCGCCTTTCACACTCCAAAAACTTGGGCTAGAGGGGCGTGGCGGTGCGCGGCAAAACTCGTACTTATTACATTTGATCAGCCTGTTCCATTGTCCCTATTAGAGATACTGTAGCTCAGGAATTCAAGGCCATTAAAAATACTAAGAAGAGACTTTGACTTGGAGCCTGGAGTCCAGACATCGACGATTCAAATTGAGTAATTTTCGTGCCGGCGAGGACTATGCCCAAATTCTATCAAGCACGCTGGAGCAGAAAAAAATCAAAATACTATAGCTTCAGCGCGTTACACATATAAGAACTTGAACACGGCTGAGGATGCGTGCCTAGGAATATCGGTCACCGAAATTTGGATCTTGTAACAATAATGTTTGCACGTGTTATACATGGTGGAAAATCTCATCCTCATATGTGGGGCAAAATGTGCGTTCGAGGGAGGGTAACAACAGTTTCCAAATAGGGCATAGGCAAATCTGATGGCTAAGCCTAAGCCTAACCAACGCAATAACGAATCAGAAGCCGGATTTTTGTCAAGAATAAGCTAGGATAGGAGGTTCGCTACTTCATTGCTGAGAATATATAGCCTGCGCATCTAGGTAGAAATAAATGCCGGACACGGGCGATATCCATAGCGTGGATAAAAACGAGCTGCCTCTCAACCCTTGATGGTTGGCTTGAAGACTCTATTCTTAACGCTCCACCTCAGGTACAGCTCCGTGAGTAGCGGAGAGAAACGTTCATTTATTCCTGGCAATGATGTTCCTCGCACTAGATATGAGTTTGCCTGAACTTGTGCGGGGATGAGAAAATCTGCATTTTCTTCGAGCATATCGACAATCCTTGACTCCTCAACCGTGTTTGTTAGTCTGCACTATATTTCCAGTCGGTCTCCGACTTTAGCGCCTTTTGGCGCTTAGAACTACTAGTGCGCAAACCCCGGGCCGGTATCCCGATAGGAACATATTGACAATGATAAGCGGAGTTTGAAACGGAGCTGCCAGGAAACTTGTCAGGCGCCAGTTACCTACCTACCTACCTACCTACCTACCCCACCCCCGCCACGCACCAGTGGCTCCCGCGAATGGTGCCTCGCATTCTCATCAGTATCCTACGACTGGTCCACCGCCTTCGTTTACGGTCTTTGGCGTCTAATCGGCGGCCATGGGAACGACTTCTGGCGACAACAATCTCGTTCAACCGCAGGATCGCAACTCACCCACAAGTAGCTGAACTGCTACGATTCATATTTCTTGGAACTATTATTGAGACAGGTCGAAAGCTCGCCCAAAATATCTGACTGTGAGCCCACTATAATTATATGTATATGTTCAGCCGCTCCATGACACTGATATCTGTACACCGACAGTATTTGTGGTGAGTCTCCACCTTCTCATTTTATTTTCCGCCCCATTATATTAATTAATTTTAGGTCAAAGCGGAATTTACAACGGGTGATTTCGCCTACGACTGGGTCGACGCTTACTTGGAAAACCATCCAGTATGGAACGAGAGCAGATCGTTTAAAGTCGTCGCACGCAATCCGATGTCTTGTCCCTCTCAGCACTCGACACCTGGCAAAAGTGACGGTCATCCGCATCCCATTTACGATCCTGCCACAGCTCAACGCCCTTCCTTACTCCATTAGCGGGGTTATTGGATGTCAATAGTAAGTTCATTGAGTGCGCGACAGTATCACTCTGACATGTTAAAACCCCGCGCAGAGTAAGAGCTCCGCAGGCCTCAGCCATTATGACACGCAAAGACAACCGGGGTTACCGGAGGGAGGAACGCTACTAACGTTTGATGCGCATGCCCAATGTTTCGCGTGTACCTCATGTAGTTTTCGACAGATTATGGAGTCGTAACCGGCAGAACCTCGACGACTTTGTATCGGCTGCACGGGACTTCTACGTCGAATCTCAAGCATTGCCCCGCAAACAGCTTGATTTCAAACACGAACAGGCATGGTTGCGACTTCTCTATGCCCACATATAGCCCAGTCTGGTTCCCTCCTCACCGCATTCTTTGAGCAATCCGACCTCACGTACAATTGGATGCTAGAATATTTGGTCTATTTTCCTCTCACCTCTGTCATTTTACACCGCGTCTCATGAATCACCACATAGCGATTCTGCCGGGGCGTTGAAATACACCATGAGCTACACGGTCAGCACAAAACAAAACGACATGGGATGGGCAACTGGCGCAAGAAATTCTATTCATTATTTGCCCGGGCGCGATACAGTTCAACAGTTCCTCTTCAAATCTCCTAGAACCAA